GGTACAGAAAACAAAGACCTTGGTAACAGCCTCCAAGGAACAATTTGTCATGGCATATCATGGAAAATAATTTTAAAAGGACTCCACTATTAGGTTTTTTGACATAACAGGATTGGAAATAACAGGATTTTGTTTGAGAATAATGTACCATTTGATAAAGGTCTGAACCAATATCTTGTGTGCAAAATCTTATATTTCTTGATGACTTTTTTAAAGAATTTATAATAATTCTTGTTGTAAAAAAATTATGGCCTAAAAATAAAGTTATGAAACTGAAGTTGTTTTGCATTGTTCATGACTTTATCATCCTGACATAACAACATGTAAAAAATCTGAAGAATTGTTGCAATTCAACTTGACCAATATATTTCATCACCTAAGTGCAGTTTCAGGTTAACTATTATTATAATTTAAAAGGAGTTAACCCGTTACTGCACTACTGTGATGATTTATTTCACAGAATTGAACCCATAAGTTAAATTCCTTATTTACGATTTTTTACTGAAAAAATACAAATATTGACACCTTTTTTTTTTTTTTTTTTGTGAAGGGGGGGGGGGGTAGAGTTGCATGAGTAATCACTGTTTAACATAGCAATCATAAAACTACTTATGCATATTGTTTTTTCCTATTTTTACTTGTTTTTGGAACTACACGTATGTGAAGAGAAATAAAGAGTTGTCAGTATAACTTGAGAGCATGCTTGACTATTCTTAGTGCTAATGTTAAGTAAACCTAAAGTATTTATAATGTAGAATTTTCTTAACTTCAAAACAGGCCATAATTCTCTTCCAAATTCCATGTTAGAGTCAATTGTGCCTGGGATAGTGACTTTTTATGCTCTAGAATAAGTGACACTCAAGCTCTAAAACAAGTGTGTGAAGTTTGCAACCAATGCCCTTCAGTAGTTTTACAGATATCAACTAATTGCATGCAAAAAAAAGCAGATTATGACTGTGACTGATGCCCGGGTGGGGATAGTAGCTCTTTCTATTCTTGACATAGCTGAGTTACACACCTAAGTCTAATCAACTTTTACAGAGTACTTTACTGTCTATATGAGTTTAATATTGTAAATTTTAGCGTTATTTGAACTTTTACAAAAAATTGTCAACTTTAGCCAAAAATTGTCATCTGTTGTGCAAGTTAAGAATGAAATTAGCTACCAGTAATTATATACCATCAGTTTATACTAGCTATATGTTCTTAATCTTAAATATTCTTCTTATCCTGAATCAGCCGGGGTTTCTATGGTAACAAAAATATATTAGACAAAGATCATGTGATATGTAAAATCAGGATAATTTCTAACGAGGCCTTATAATGCCAAATCTATTTACAGAATAATATTCATACACTTGAAATAACAAGAGCAAGTTACTGGGTACAGCTATTGTGTAACTTCATATCCATGTTAACATTTTATTTGCATATCACTATAACTACAATATAAATCACCTGAGAACACTCTTGGTGCCACTGGAACCAACATCTTCTCTTCCATATAAAAAGATATTAAATATCATTAAGTATTTAATAATTTATGTATCATTTAGTATTTATGTAAATTTAGTATCTATGTAAATATTATTTTTTTCACAGTCCTTACAAAATGACAATCAATGTACTTTCAGCATTTGCACCAAGTTATGTTCCAATAGAAAACATTATTGGATCCAATCATATCAATTCAGCCTTGCTTTTTTTATTTCCAGAGTCCAAAAAGTCGATATCAAATCCATATCACAGCCCAAATATCTTCAATTTCATTTCAAGAGTCCACAAGGTTCATATTAAATCCATATTACACCCCATATAGCCTCATTTTCATTTCTGGGGTCCAATAGGTTAATATCAAATCCATATCGCACCCCATCACTTATTGCTTTATATTTTTTGAGAGTCCAAAATAGAGAGGCCATGGAGCATGGATGAGAACAATACTGATTCTACTGGACTTGTATACATATACAAAATCTATATCAGATATGGCTAGTACCTTGTCCAATATAGGTTTGACAGTTGATGTGTCCTCATCCATTATATACTCACCAATGTATCATATAGAGGATATTTGTTTGTTTGTGTGTAAGATGAAATTTTATTTCATCGAGTGGGCTTTAAAAACAGTATTCTCACGAGTGGCGAAGCCACGAGTGAGAATACTGTTTTTAAAGTTCACAAGATGAAATAAAATTACATCTTACACAACAAACAGACAAATTTTCTTTTTATTTTATGCTTAAAAACAAGTTAAAACGAAATTTCCATAATTTTAACGTTAATATTAAAACTGTTTCCCCCATTGAGAGCCCCATTTATTCGGAATTTCTCATTAAAAAAAGAAGTCTTGAGCTGAAAAATAAGTCCGCCAATCAACATTAAATGACGGTGATATTTATTAATTTTATTAAAAAAATATGAATGATCGCTTGTTTTGATAATAAAAACAAACAATTCTTGTAGGAGAAAAAGTCCAACCATCCATCCATATTTCTGTTACTTAGTGCGAATTTATATTAGACCTGGCTTTGTAAATTGTAAGCGGCAGCCATTTTTTAAAGTTGTGTATTTCATGGGAGGAAAATAATTGTGTAAGATTCAGAGGGATATAATTTGGATTTGTTAGTCATACACATTTTTAAAAGAAAGAAAACTTATTTGAGGATTGTAACAGACAAAAAATAAGTGTTGACAGATGTGAAAACATTCAGAAAAGGAGCTAGGAAAATGGAAAACTTGGAAACCTGCTCAAGAACGCTGGGTTGATTTAACTTATTCTTCGAGTTATGGCTGTCAATGCTTTCAATTTTTCATAAAGCATATGGCAGTTATTGCTCGTAGGATACTTTAATATGCCCAAATGTCATCAAGAGCAGTTTTGCATGGGGAAGGAATGTATTTTTGAGACTGTCAAAATGAAACAAAAGAACGAAATTTGGTGATTGGAATTTCATGAATTTGAATGAATAGAAGTAAGTTTTCTTCTTTTTATTACTTTTGACATTTAAGTTTTTTATCAATTTCAGTTTTGCTTTTTCTTTAAACAGCCTGACATTGTCAGAATTGTCAGCAAATATAAAATTGAGGTACCACATGGGGAAAATCTTAAAAAAGTAGTTTCGTCGTTGAAAAGAGTGAAATTATATTTTGATAATTTTCACTGTGAAATTACCAAATATAATTTTCACGGATAAATCAGTAATCCACTGAAAAGCATAAAATAAAACCATAATATTACATTAAAAGTGAAGATAAATCAATACATTATATGCATATCTTAAATACATCTGGTACTCCAGGGATCAAGCTTCAAACTTTTGTTCACAATGATGCTGTTTTTGTACTAAACAGAAACAGCAATACATTCCCTCATGAAATCACCCACATCACCCTGACCAATTCATCAAATGTCTAGAAGCTTATTAAAGAAAGTGCCAATGAAATTGAGTGCAAGTTGTATTTATTTTTGCAGATTCTGCAGCTTCACTGCGGAATACTTAAGAAGTTCTGCAATATAAAATTAATACAAGATCAAACATTTAAAGATTTGAACTAATCTATGAAACTCTTATAAAACTGCAGAATCATTGACCATAATTGCATGTATCTGAAACATTTTTGACAGACTTTTTAATGCATATCTAAATCTACAATACACTCTTTTGTAATGGCAATACTTAATTTAGTGAGAGGTGCATTTAATTCTCTAAGTATTCTTTGCCTATTATCTCATTAAAGATTATAAAAATTTCATAATAAGTAGATGCAATGAATAAATGCATCTTCACTCAAGAATATAATTGAAATTAAATAAAGACGATTCTCAGAATCTGAAAACAGTTTTGGAATATCTATTAAAGGGACATCACTGAATTTTCTTAAAATAACCAAGTTAGAAATAATTTTTTTCAAGATTTTTGTACCATTTGATATAAGCTTGTACCAATTATTTGTCTGCAAAATTTCAGATTATTTGCTCTGTTTTTCCAGAATTCATTTAATTGTGCAAAATGACCTAATATGAAATGCATTAAAATGTTTTTCACTAAAAAGAGCTAAAAATCGCACAATAAATGATTTTAAATTCTCAGATTATTTTTCATTATTTATTGCACCATAATTTATTCATTTTATGTACGAAAGTTGATTGATGAAAGAATTCAAAATTCAGTATTTCTAAGCTTTTTGCTCTTGTTGAGCTCCTTTAATGTTTCAAGCTTGATAGAAATTCAAAACATTCAAGACATCATAAAATTTCCAAGTTTATCACTTAATATACTTACAACCGGTATTCCCTTTTAAAAACAAACAATAAACATTAAATTGAGCGGCGTCACAACAAAACCAACATAATGGGTTTGCGACCAGCATGGATCCAGATCAGCCTGCTCATCCCCTCAGTCTGATCAGGATCCATGCTGTTCGCTTACAAACCCTATAGCAAGTAGAGAAACTGATAGCGAACAGCATGGATCCTGATCAGACTGTGCGGATGCGCAGGCTGGTCTGGATCCTGGATGATGCTGGTCGCAAACCGGGCGCCATTATGTTGGTTTTGTCGTGACGCAGCTCATTTTAATGATTAGTGTGTCATTGACTCCACATAATACACTACATGTAGGAACTATAACCTATCATAATAATGATGTCGACAAAATAAATTTTGTCAAGAAAATTCTTCTCCACAAGCATACAGGAACATATATTTCTATTCACTCTCTTCTTAATTGTGCATATTAGAAAGGAAAATAAACATGAAAATTTCTTGCATTACAAAGTTCGAGTTTGCATTTAAATAAATTCACTAAGGCCTATGACCTCACTTAGGCTTAGCTATCACCACACTAAGGCCTGTTATCACATCAAGGCTTAATAATAATATGACCTAACCAAGGCCTATGACCTCACTAAGGTCTATCACCACACTAAGGCCTCTCACCTCACTTAATACAGGTTTAATGGTTAAAAATCAATTGTTTATCATGTAATGTACTTACTTCTTTGTTCCCAAGCAGATGTAACAGGAGCTAGTGGTATATTGTCACCTGGATACATTATTACCTCCCTTTATTTCAATCATTCTAGGCTTCACTCAAAATCTGTTTATAAACTTTGCACAGTTACACTCAAAATCTGTAATTCAGCATCAACTGTGCACAGTGAACACTCAAAATTAACTTAAGCACTCTCAGGTACTCAAAATCTATAATTCAATATCAAATAAGCATAAATTCTGAGACACTCAAAATCTGTCATCAATATCAATTTATTCCAATGCTGTAATTCAAATCAAAATCTGTAATTAAATATATACTAAGCACTGTCAAAGACTCAAAGACATTTAATTTGAACTTTACAATCAATTGAACTTAGACAAGCTTAAACAAATGAAATAATAATTCTGTTATTTACATTATCAACAAGACTAAATTGACGTCAATTCATTAAAAAAAGTCTTAAGTAAATAAAATCCACTGACGCTTCGGAAATTCTGTAATTTACATTCACTATTCACCTAGTCATCAATTTTTCAATTTTTCAATATTCTTCACAAGATATATTTCACACAATAAAACAATTGAGTCTTTTCCATTATAATAACCTTCCTCCAAAAAAAATAACTGCACTGAGACTGTATAGTATCAGAGAATGTAATTCAGACTTAAAGCTGACATTCAAATGATTCTCGACTTAAGAAACGTAAAATCCAAGGTCATTTATCTATCTCAATCCAATTTACATTTATCTCCTAAAATCTCACTTCAGTGGTGTCCTTATCTAAAAATGTTTGCTATTTGTAAAAACTCATTTCTAACTAATGTGCAAAAAGTAGCACGGCCGATAAATCAATGTCATGTATTTGATAAAAAAAAAATATTTTGTCAATACAAAGATTGTATTTCACAGAAAACTTCCATTAGCCTCTCTTACAACAGAAGCACTGTCTAAACACTCGATATGTCCTCTACAATGACAGATTATCCTTTTTCACAACTTCAGAACACATGAAACAACAACTTTTTTTTGTTTCACACATATATTTTCCTTATTCTTATTCATAAAAACCTACTACACAGAATGAGTGACTGAACTATGACTTCCTTATAATCATAAAATAAAGGACTTCCTTAAACACAATCACACTAATATCGTGTCCTTGCAGTGTTATTTTACAACTATATCTCCTTAAACACTTCACCTATTACATCGGCAGAACATCGCGTAAATTCGTGCAAGCATCCATCATGGTGACAAAAATTTCCAATATTGGCATTTTGTCCGATTTAAATGCTACCGTCACAGAGTAAGTTTTTGTTTCCTAGTCGAATGATCAGCATTTTGCCACCATCGTTTTCCTGTTTGAGTAGTAATTATAAGTCCCGATCAATAAAGCATAATTTTACCGGCAATTCCTTTCTCTACATAAACGAACGATATAAAGTATCTGCTGAAATGCTCTATCGTACTACTTTGTACTTATAAGTAAGTCTCAGCAGAAATACCATAATTGTATGTTTTTAATCTCGAAACCACTTACAAAAACCGTAGACGGAGCTGGATCACGTTTCTCTTTTGCAGATTACGTAGTCATGGGAAGATCTACGTCTAGGGACCACTTTTAGAGGAAAATAATTATGAATGTTAAGCCTAGGGATTGTCATACAGGAAATAATTTTTTCAGAATGTCATCTGAAATTTTTCAGCATCAATCAGTTTGCCAGAGTTAATCATATCACAGATCTTTATCCTTATCCTACTGAATATCTTAAATGGACTTGTCCATCTTTCAATCTGGACAAAACCATTCATTTTTTAGGGGAATTTTTTAAAATACATGTATGTACTGACTGAATAGCAAACAGTGCAGACCATGATCTTGGTGATCTGGTTTGTACTGGTTTCATGGGTACATTCTCTAGACAACAGCAAGTGAAGGATTAAAATCTGAATGAGTCCTGGGGGAAAAATTAGCTTCACATTGTTTCAACTGTAATTCAAGTATTTGCATTAACATGTATGCACCTGAATAGTGAATACATGTAAATGACTAAAAAGGATTGAATAGATATTCTTTTCATTCCATCATAACTGCTTTTGGGACAGTATTTGTATTTTCCATTGTTATGTATCAACTTATGAAGCTAATAAAGCGAAACAATTGTATTGATATTTAAAATTGTGTTGGTTTTTGATCTATTTGTACTATTTTACTAAAACAAACTTAAATATTCATACATGTATTTCCTTGATTTGTATTGAAAAATTGAGTCTGCATGAATATAAATAGACAAAGAAAACTTCAAAGTTAAATGAAATAGAGTCATTAATTACACTTAAAGGAATGGAAGTTACCACTGAAATCAAACTTTGTTGTCCATCTTTTTCAGATATTTTTAAGCCAAGTTATTGAATTTAAATGATGAAAATCTAAACAAATTCTCAACATCTCAATCAAAATTACATTAAATTCTACCGAATCTGAAAACACAATTTCTTATTCTAACCAAGTACCAAAAAGACAATTTCGTCTTCACTTTTGATTGGATGACAACTGTTTTCCAATAAAGCAAAAGCTTCGGTTTGGCAACTGAAGTTGAAGTGATGTCTTAGAAAATATTAGTATTTGCGGCCCGGTGATTTAAGGCTGTCTAAAGATGCATACTGACCTTTCGGAGATTCATTCATTCTTTCTTGGAACGTCAATCAAGTTGAGAGGAACAAAGAGTGGCAAGGAACGCGCCAATTATATTGCCTCCTGTCAATACTTTACCCATAATATCAGTACCAAGTAAAAATCGTTTATCTATATATGGGTTGGCATTCAAACAAGTTACTTCCTCAACATTCATTATTTTCCCCAAGTCGAGAAATGATAGATTTTTTTTCATAAGAAAATTACACTTCATGTGCAGTTTTTTGGATTTTCTGGAAAATCAACACAAAAATCTCTCTAGAATGAAAAGGAAATTACAGCCTTTGCTTAAATACAGTTGCAGCAACTATCCAGCATATATAATTATATTTTCTCAATCAATACATAACATAAAATCATAACAATAACAGTAATGCAAACAGCTAATATTTCTTTTTCTTTCTTCAAAAGGAACATTTTCCTCTTCTTTAGAAAGGGCAAATTATGAGCATTTTAAAAAATATGGTAAACGGCATCGCCTAAATAATATAGCAATGAAATTGAAATTCCTTGTCATAAAAGTAGCAAAATGTAAACAATCATTATAACTGTACTAATTGCAAAAGAGAAACAGAAGCTAAAGATGGTCAAGGTAACCAGTAATGAGTAACTTTTTTAAAACTATAACAGGACAGCAAAATAAAGGCTTTTGTGAAATTAGAATAAATTTAAGGCAATTCTGGGGCATTATAAATGGGTCAGACCAAGATAGATTAGAATTCATCACATTTTCACAAGCATCAAAAGCTTCATGTCTAATATGTAAAAGGATGATGCACACCTTAAACAAACCCCCTGATTAAAAGTCCCTTTTGAAAGATTGTTTCTAATTTGGGTATGGGTCAACACTGATGTTAGCCTGGTAACCCAACTGGGCCTAAAACAGCACCTTGTCTATTCTAAGGGGCTAACATTACAAAATGCTGCAAACTAATTTACCTTACTATCATATGATTACACTATAAAAATATGAATATTCCAGACTATAAAAATGTAGCCCAAAACTCCATTTAATAGAAATGCTTTACTTCCGAAGCCTATGGAATCAAAAAATTGAATTCAAGAAGTCAATGAAAATTTCAAGTTTAACCATTATACCTTTTCTAGTTCTTTCTACATCAACTACATTCAAGTAAAATTTGGAATAAGTAACATGTAGGCTTCTATCTGAAATTGCAGCTATAGGCTGTCTGCTTAATGCTGACACAGCAATTTCTCTATCATATTACATAAATGGCATTGTAGACATTATGTCATTTACAATCTAATTAAACATGCATTACAAGACTTGTTTAATCAATACTTAATATGGTTTGGCGGTTGTATGGGAGAATGTCCCAGTTACATTTACAGCATTTTGTTTTTTATTTATTTTCTTAAAAATAAAATGTTTAGAAAATGTCATTGGTCTCTTATGATGCTCATAATATTGTCAATAAAATCTTTAATATAAATCTATAAAGAAAGGGACAAAAAAGGGACATAAAACCAGTACATGGATAAGGATAAAAAATAATGGGATTAAATTTTTTTGAAAAGTTTCATCAAAATTTTACAAAGATGTACATGTCCGATGAGGTTTTTAAACCTTGCATGCCAAGTAACTGTTGATAACAGTTACAACTATCAACAGTTACAACTGGGTAAATATATTGATATATTGAGAAGTTCTATTGAGAGTGCACCATCAATTATCTATAAGTAATAGAAAGAGCACCAAAACACGAGGCTATCTGATTTGTACGAGGGGGCGTAGCCCCCGAGTATAAATCAGATTGCCGAGTGTTTTGGTGTTCTTTCTCTTTTGTATCATAGTCAAACATAAAAGCACGTTCCCTGTTGTCACAATATGAAACCCCGGCAAAAATGAACCAATGAACGAACATCTGAATATGACATTTCTGTCGCTTTCCCTTTCTCTGCCGTCACAATATGTAAACCCCAGCAAAAATGAGCCAATCAATGGGCATGCTCTGGAGTGCGGGTAACTAATACCCGCACTCCAGTTAACGCACTGTGCATGTATATGTATACGATTTAACCCCGACACATTTTCAACAGAAAGGTCTCCGAACTATGATACAACAATAAAATGTTGTTTGAATCCTGGTATATGATGGAGAAATACCCATATATTATTAAGCAAAGTTTGGATAACATCTTTTATCCCAATAGTCTTCAAAAGTGTATTGGTTTTCATTTGAAACATAAATAAAGCAACATCAACAAAACTTGTACAAATTTTCTTGAATTCTAAGAATCTACAGTTTTGTTATGTAGTATTTACTTGATCAACATTTTACAAAAGCTTTTTCACACTGAACCTCTTTGAAAATATAAGCAGTAGAATTTCTGAGATACACACAAATTTATAAATTGTCTCTTCAATACAGCTACTGGTAAGATTCTTCTCTAATTATGTCTGTGCTGAGAATCGGAAATTTGTGCTCAAGTTTTG